AGAAAACACATCAAATTTGGAAGGAAACAAAGATATAGCAAGTGAGTTTTATGATGTGTGATGTATGCAGTCCAGAGATGTGACTGCTGGAAGAGAGTAGAAAACTAAGGGTGAATGTCAGGGTGGGTCTGGAGGAGGAACCCCTGATAGGAAGAAGGCCCACCTAAGTTCTAGTTTAGATTCCGTAATAAACTAAGTCACTTGAACAAGTCACTTAAACTCTCTGGCTTTTGTTTTATTTTCTTTAATAAGTTGGTTGGGGGCTGGGGATGTGGCTCAAGCAGTAGCACGCTTGCCTGGCATGCGTGCAGCCCGGGTTTGATCCTCAGCACCACATACAAACAAAGATGTTGTGCCTACCAAAAACTAAAAAATAAATATTAAAATTATTTTAAAAAAATGAGTTGGTTGGGAAAAAATGGCTTCCTAGAACTCTCTTCCAGCTCTAAAATTATCTTAGTTCACTTACCTTACCTACTCTTTCTTTTAAGGGTGTGTGCCTTCTGTTTTTTTTTTTTTTTTTAATTTAAAAAAATTAATGGTAGAATATTTATAGAACAAGTATATTTTAAGTAATAATAATGATACTGATAAGTTAAACACCATGTATTCATCATTATTAAGAAACTGAACATTGCATGCTGGGTGCAGTGGCAAATAAATGTAACCCCAGCGACTCTGAAGGCCGAGATAGGACTATTGCAAGTTCGATGATGTCAGCCTCAGCAACTCAAAGCAAAACAAAGACCTGGGAATGTAGCTCAGTGGTAAAGTGCCCCACTGGGTTCAATGCCCAATATAACAAAAAAAAGAAAGAAAGAAAGAAAGAAAAGAAAAGAAACAAAGAAAGAAATTGAACATTGCTAATGTCTTAGAGGCTCTTTAATGCCTGTCCCTTTGTTCACACTCTTATCTTTTTCTCAATCTTGTCTTTTTCATGCTTTATAAAAATACTGAACTATCACTATCTATGCATCACCAAAAATATTGTATATTTTAAATAATAATAATAATAATAATAATGTCTGCTTTTGAACACTATATACTACTCTTTATTTTATCTGATTTTTTTCAAACATTTTTATTTTTAATTAACACATATTAGCTGTACATATTTATGGGGTACAGTATAACATTTCAATACATGTACACAATGTGTAATAATCAGATCAGGGCAATTGGCATATCCGTCACCTCAGATGTTTTATCATTTCTTTATTTTAGGAACATTCAAAATTCTCTCTACTATTTTTGTTTGTTTTTGCAATGCTGGGAAGGGAATCTGGGGTCCCACACATGGCATGCAAGTGTTCTACCACTGAGCTATACCCCCAGCCCCACTACTAGCTATTTTGAAATATTCAATTGTATCAACTGTAGTTATTCTACTGTACTATAGAATATCATATCCAACTGCTCTCCTGAAACCAGTAACTGTCCTCTCTCTGTCCCTTGCTTCCATTATTATTATTGTTGTTGTTATTATTATTATTATTTTCCTCACTAAATTGTTGAGGCTGGCCTAGAACTTGCAATCTTCCTGCCTCCTGAGTCACTTGAATTACAAGCATGTGCCACCACCATTCCTGATTTTTCCTTATGTATTTTTTTTAACTTTTTTTTAGTTGTAGATACACACAATACTTTTATTTATTTATTTCAATGTGGTGCTGACGATCAAACCCAGTGCCTCACATATGCTGGGCAAGCGCTCTACCACTAAGCTACAGCCCCAACCCTCCCTATGTATTTTAAAGAAAATTTATTATTATGTATAATCAGTGAATATGTCTAGTGAACCAGTTATTATCTCCAGTTAATAACAATGGAGAAGAGTAAAGTCAGAGCTGAGTAGATTGTAAAGCTGAGCAAATAAAATGTCAGAATCCAGGAGCAGGCAAGAACTAAATGAGTCATCCTATACATTTTCCTGCCTTTAAA